CGAGCTTGGGCAAAAAACGAACAATGTTATACCACGTGATAGAGTGGGTCGTTATATATACTCATCATTTGTGATTTGGTAATTAAAGAGAACGTGTTCATTTATTATTTGTTCACATCAGTTGTGAGAATGGAGTACATCCTCGCATGTGAGGAATTAAGTATTATCCGGTAATTTATGAGTAAGTAGAAAGGGAGTATGGGTTGAGACTTGTGAGATTGACAACTATGTAGCCTAATAAGAGAGTTGTTAAGTAGAGGTAATTTGTGAGGGGATAGAAAGGGAGTACGAGTTAAGACTTTGAGAGATACGTGGCCTCATAAAAGAGTTGATAGGTAGATGTAATTTGTAAGTGGAGAGAACATCGATGACAAGAAAGAAGTCTTGTGAATTGATAGACAATGAAGAACTATAGAGTAAGAGTTTGTGTACACGATGTTGGGTTTTCTTTACCGTGTAATATCTCTACTAGTGGAATCTTCTCTCATCCTTACACATAAGCCAACCACGTTGAATCTTATGTTTGTTGTGTGACTATTTATTCTTTTTATTAAATCTCCATGTTTATGTTTTGTTGTCCCAACCATGGCTGACCCTATGATTCCCAAATTTTTGATAGGCTTTATATGAACTTTCAAATGCGAGGCCCTTAAAATTTTAAATTGGAGGCCCATGTCCAATTTGAGGCCCTTTCAAATTGGAGGGCCTAAGCGATCATCTTGGTCGCTGCCCTGGTCCCAACAAAGTGGCATTAGAATCTAAGGTTCCTTTTGGAAAGTTAGATCTTAAATTGGAGGCCCATGTCCAATTTGAGGCCTTTTCAAATTGAAGAGCCTAAGGGATCGTCTTGGTCGCTTCCCTAGTCCCAACAAAGTAGCATTAGAGTCTTAAGGTTCGTTTTTTTTAAGTTAGATCTTTATTTCAAAGATACTCAAAAAATACCAAGAATCTTGACAGGTATCGTAACAAATTTCAGTTGCAGGTAGAGTATAATTTGCTTATTTGGTCACAACGATTAGTACATCATGATGGATTACACGACATGCTCAAAGGTGGTCAAAGTAATTCATCTGGACAATTTTACACGTAAGTAATAAAGACAAATTTCAAGAATGGTCAAAATATTTCACACTTGTTATTTCTATTAGTTTCCCTTAATTATCCAATTTAGGATAATGTTAATAATAAAATTTTTTTATGGACGACAATAGTCCCCATAGTCATGGATAACGTGGATTAAAAGCAAATCGATACATTTTCTTTAAGTATAAAATAAAAAGTCAAAAATAATATCAATAAGTGTGTAGTTCATTACTTTCGATTTAAAAATTAAAGATAATGTGTCTATTTATTATTGATATATATCAGACTAAAATATTGTCTTTTTTTTTTATTTTTTTATAGAGTATCTTTTTTTCTCTCTCTCTCTCTCTCTCTTCGTTAGGCCTTGTTCAAACAATTTTAAATTGGTAGAGACATAATAATAATAATAAGGGTAAAGTACAAAGAGACCCCCTGAGGTTTGAGGAAAGGACAGACAGATGAAAGTTGGCTTGTTTTTGGACAAACACACCCCCTTGTGAAATTTGCCCTCCAAACAGAGCCTTAAATCAAGTGAAAAGTCCATTTTACCCTTCACTATTTTATTAATTTTAATTATAAAATATTTAAAACTTAAATGGCCAAAATACCCTTTTCATATATACTTATATATATATACACACACACACACACACACACACACACACACCAACAACCAGTCACCACCGCCCCCAATCTCCACCAACCCCCAACCTCCATAATCACCACCCACTAAAGAAGACGCCAAAAAGGAGCTCTACCACTGCCACCTCCTCGACCTCGCCGGAGCTCAGCCTCGGTTCGGGCGGCGAACTCGGCCTTGGACAAGCCGGGTTTGACCGGGATTGACAGAGACGTTCCCCACGCCGGCGTCTTTCATTCTTGACAGCGGTAGAGAGTTGATGTTTGAGCCTGCAGGGAAGATTTGAGGATGAGATCGGTGCTGCCGCCGCCACCACCCTCTTCCCCTCTCTCATACACACGCACACACATACACACATATATATCACCCCCTCATCTGTGCACATCACCATCCCCAATTCTCACCTTCGCACGGAAAAGGACTCTAATTGGACTCAAAACGGACGGCAGAAGCGATGCCCACTTCAGCCTCCTCGGCCTTACAGGTGACGGTCGCCGGACTGTGCTTATCTGAACCTTGTCGTCATCAGAGCTTGGTCCTCGCCGGATTGTTTTTGCTCGTCGATCTCTTGTTGATCGGTTTCTAAACTTCGCCACACTATTCAGTCTGTGGCCGCATCGTCATCGGAGCTTGGTCCTCGCCGGCAATTTCAGGGTTTCGCCGATGCTTCTGGGTTTTGCCGCCACTGTCACAGTCATCGCCGCCGCCGCCACTGTCACAGTCATTGCCGATGCTTCTTCCTCTCTCTCCTCTTCACCTCATCTCTTCAACTATGGCCGCCCCTCTCTTCCCCCTCTCTCTACACCCACCACCGCGGCCACAACCACCATCCATCTGATCTCCCTTCTCTCTCCTCTGGTGAACTGTATAATATACGCAGGCGGGTTCGGGTTCGGGTTTGGTTTCGGGTTTGGGTTTAATCAAAGGGTATTTAAGTCAATTAAAATATTAATTTTATTTGAAAGGGTAATAAGGTCAATTCACCATCTTCAGGGTCTCTTTGTCCATTTTTCAAACTTGAAGGGGTGTCATTGTCCAAAAACATGCTAACTTTCTTCTGCTTGTCCTTTCCCCAAACCTCGAGGGGTGTCAATGTACTTTACCCTAATAATAATATATAAACAAGATTCCTACACTGTAAGGGCTTCTTATTTTTTACAGTATTTTTCCGCCAGTATTGTTGACTGGGAATGAAAGACCTTTGTGAGAGGAACTGCCATGTTCGAAGTGGTACAAAAGCTTAAAGAGATTAAGCACCCTTTGAGAACAGCATGCAGGGAAAGCTTCTCCGATTTAGCTACACGAATCCTTAAAGTCAAGGATGAACTCGACCGTTGCCTCCTCTCCGAGAATAGATACCACTGGACCAAAAAATTTATTGGTGAAACAAGATAATGCCACCCACAAAAGATTATAATAATTATTATTTTTCTCAACGAAAGATTAGCTTTTTACAAGTTGAGATGAGAACTCATCCGCAACAAGATGGTGAAGAAAGCTATTGCCTAGTGTTGATCTCACTCATAGTATTGTGATATAAACTAGCTTATGAGCTTTTACCATTGCATCAACTAAGATGATGAATAGTGTATGAAAGTTATTTGATGGTTTTCTTTATAAAATTCACCGTTCTGAAACTCTTTACAGCGCAATAAGGAATTTAAGTCAGTGGGGGCAAATATTAATAATAATATAAAAAGAAACTTTGAACAAAAATAATAAATAGAAAATGATTTTTTATTTATTTTTTTCTTAAAAATTTTTCAGGACCAACTAGAGCAGAAAAGACACCATCACATCTTTTTTGAATTTTGAAAATTTTGTTAGGGCAAATGAGTTAGAAAATGAGGGATATTTTTTAATTTTTTGAAGTTTTTTTTCTTATAATTATCAAAATTCGTATAAAAAAATAATGACAAAAAATTCAATAACAAAAGAGGTGTCTTTTCTAAATTTTTATTTTAAAACATGGATCTTTACTGAATTTTGAAAATCGTATTGAACAAATGAGTAAAAAAAAAAAAAAATGAGCCGTCCTTTGAACTTTTGCAATTTTTATTAAAGTATTTTGTGTTTAGAATTATCAAAACATATGTATAAAAAATAGAAAATAAAAGAAAATTCCAGCGGAGGCAATTGCCCATTGTCCCAACCTAGCTCCCCAGCCTAGAAAAAGTCTGCTCCATGTTCGATAAGTGGAGAAAGAAGGGTAATGAATTATCGATTCACACTAAAATTCAACTAATTGAAAATACAACAATCTAAGATCATAAATGATCACAATTCCAGAGTAATAAATTTTATGATATACAAATTTCACAGGCCTTCCCTGAACAATATAACTGGTGCTGATTCTCTGAAAGTTTTTTTATTATTAAAAACTAATGCCATTTTTTTTTTTTGGATAAATACTAATGCCATGTCTTTTTTTTTTTGCCTGATATTTTAGGAGACATCAGAATTAAGTTCTTACTCACTTAAACCAACCTCTGAGATTAATATTGATGCCATGTTCAATGACATTAGACTGTAAAGTGAAGAAAAAAAAAATTAAGCCAAGGAAAAAGAAAAATTGCGTCACTACCTAAAGTGGAGGCTTAACTAGATTTTATCTTTGATATGGGTAGAGTTCAAAAGAGTATCACTTGAAAAAATAATGGCACTACCGCATTATAAACTTAAGAACATCAACCACTTTATTTATATTTAAGCTTCGTTTGGTATGTGTTTTATTTATGCTTTTTTTATTTTTGAACTGCTACAATGTTAATTTTGGTAACAAAAATATGTTTGGTGCGAGCTTGTTTTATTTTACGTAGTGTTAAAACAAAAATACCAAAAAATTATTTTTTCTTATTTTGACAACTGTTCATGACCTAAAACCATAACAGTAGCATAACATGGGCAAAAAACAAAACTTGCTTTCGATTTTATTTCAAAACATTCCTACTGCAAAAATATTATTTCTATTTTAGTCAAAAATAAAATGTCAAAAACAAAACGCATACCAAACAGACTCTTATCTATAAAATGAGTATGTATTTATTGTCACAAATAAAAATAAAAAAGCTATTAAGCTACCGTATTAGGAATTAAAATAGATAAAAATTATATAACAATATATGCTTTAATTAAGATAGTAACCTTATATAAAATTAACATTTTAAAACAATTGAAGAGTTAAATTAACATTATATGATACAATTTTAGAATTCAGAATACGTCACCTCAATTAATTAAATTTTATTTGGATTTCTTAGAAATAAAATAGAACTTCTGCGGTACATTCTAAACTATACTATGAAGCATCTTAAAAAAAGAAAAAGAAAATTTCTCTAATCGCCTTTCCATCTTCATTCCCTTTCCCATTTCCCATTTGCCCTTTGCCCTTTGCCCTTTGCCCTTTGCCCTTTCCATCCACTTAACGAAAGAACGGTAAAATACACTTTTTCCCCTTTCCTCTCTTCCAAATTTCATCGTAAGCATTGCAGTCAGATAAGTTAATTTTTTTTTGGATTTTTCTCTCTATCCGAAGTCTCTCCTATTTGGATCTCTTTTGGCACATTTACAGTCGAGATATGTAGGGCTTTACAATTCCAATCTATTCAAATTCGTATAAAATGAGAGATACAATATTTAGAGTACCCAAATCGAAGTAAAGGTAGGTTTTTTGGATTTGATATACTACATTGTTTTTGGTCTGACCACTGATTGGTCGATCTCTGAATGGACTCACGAGATTCGTCGTCGTCGTCGTCTTCAACACCTGCGAACAGAGAAGCGTCGGCGGCGGACGATGACGGAGCTTTATCTGTCACTGCAGCACTCGCGAAGGACGCCGGCTTGTCGTTCCAGTCGGGGAAATTCGCCGAATGCATCGATGTGTTGAAACAACTCTTGCAGAAGAAAGAAGACGATCCCAAGGTGATTCTTTCAAAATCTTTTCGATTGTACTTTTTTAGTTGAGTAGCAAGGTTCATTGAATCGGTTTTTATCATCTTCCTTTTGGAAGAATGAGTTTTTTACATATGGTTGAGCAAATGTAGTCGATGGAACAAAAGTTGAATCCTTGATTTTGGCTGGCTGGTTTTAAATTTAGTAGTTTTTAGTTCAAAATGAAAGCTTGATTAATTTTGGTTACCAGAATAGCATTTCACATTGCATCAATTATTTACATTATTAAATTATCGTTTTTCCGCTGTACATTTTGATATATTTAGTGTGTGCCAAAATAGTTTTTTTTAATCAAGTAATTAGTTTCAATCACTCCCTCGGAGTTCCTAAGATTTTGAGGGCTTTTAGTAAGAAAAAGTTAAGAGATTGGTTAAAGTATCAATATCATGAATTTGTTTGTTGGATTGATGCAATGTTTGAGATAGAAAAGCCGTGATTAGGAATGCAAATTATGATGGTTTAAATTTGTGGACTGATGTCATGTGAGGGCATTTCTGATTAGATCAGCTTAGATTGAGATGGTGGCTTTTAAATGGGCAAACATGAAATGCCGGTCGTGTTGGGTGGTATATATTGCAGCTTTGTGGTTTGGTTTGCTGTGATGCAATGTTGAGGTAATATGTGAAATTCATGTGCATGTAAAATCAAGCCGATTGGGATGGTTTAGAATTTTTAGATCGGCTGTATGTGATGGGCCTGATGGTATCGAGGATAGATTTTCTTACTTTGGTGGTCTTTTAATGGGAAAATACGGAATGGTGGAGGAGTTATCTGGAAGATTTTTTTATTATTGCAAGATTTTGCATAGTTCACATCTAATTTTCACGTAGTTTTTGGATAGGAAAAACTAAAACTATGCTTCTTGCTAGATTGATTCAACAAAGTCAGTCGGCCTAGTGCAGTCATGGACTATCAAGAGTGAAAGATGTGTGAACTATAACTCTCATTACTGAAAATCTGAATAAATGTTGGAACTTTTAGAATATATTCTGATTTAGGTTAGTACTAATCTAGATGTAGATATGCTACTTCGAAACCCTGCATGTATGTCCAGATAAATAAAAAAGTAACTGTTTGTCAGCATTGTATATGCATTTGGATTACACATACAGCTATTTAAATGATAACTGAATAAAATTTATGAAATATCTATGAAGTTGAATGCTAATAGCCTCATTATATCGCATCTGATATGAAGTATTAAATCATATGGTTTTACTTTTCAGATCCGACACAATATTGCTATCACAGAGTACTTTCAGGATGGTTGTTTGTATCCAAAGAAGTTGCTTGAAGTCCTTAATAATGTTAAGGTATGTTTCAGGACAGCGATTTATGCCTTTTGGTGTTGGAATATGGTAATTAATTTTTTCTTTCTTTACTCAATTTATCTGAATTTATTGTGGTGCAACATCTTTGCAAGTATTATCCTTGAAACTATGGCTAAGAATCATATTCATTGAAAAGGGCTAGCCAAGTGAATGAGGCTTCGGCCACTGCAGGGTTTAGGGAGGGTCAGATTTACACAACCTCTGCATGGGGGGAGGGCAGAGAGACTGTTTTTGATTTCGAACCCGTGACCTCCAGTTCACAATAGAGCAACCTTACCGTTGCACCAAGGCTCTTCCTCAAGAATCATATTCACTAAATATAGAAATTAATAAGGCAGGAGAAAAATCTTGGAATTGAGATGACAAAGTATAAACTTTGGTTTGCAAGAAAAGACAATTACAGGGTCTGGTTAAGGATTATTGTAGTTAATGGTAAAAAATCCTTGAAGTTAAAGAGAAGCAGACAGAATAACATGTATGAGGTTATTGACAGGAGAAGTTACCATTAGTATAATTAGGGAATAAGCATTGCAAGTAGGGAAGGCGGTTATCAAATGAGAACTTTGGTGGGACATGAATGAAATTGTGAATAACATGTATGAAGAATTTTTTTTGGTTTTTTTTTTTTCCTTGTGCGCAGAAAAACCTCATTCCAACCTGCTTGAACTCTTCACCTTCTCTCCTAGGGTGCAGTAGGGGAGACCACTTAAGCTAATCACTAGTTGTCATGGGAGGAAGTTAAATGGCCACACAGTAAAAGATGTTGAATAAGACGAGATAGTACAAAAAAAGCCTGTCCTGAAGCTTTACATGCACTCAGAATAACAAGAGCTTTAAAAGGTATAAGTTAGCTTATAAGGATGCTAAAAAGGTAGTGAGCTACTAAACAATGGGCGCTCAAGCCTAGAAATTGCGTCTTTCTTGAAAGTTTGGGGTAGTCGAGTGAAGGAAGATATGGAATAGTTGAACATAGAGAAGTGATAGGATTTTGAAAAAAAATTCTATTGAGACTTGCTTATAAGTGTTTCGATTTTTAGGGAGTATTTTGGATGTTAAATTTGTTCAACTAGATTTAACTTTTAAGATACAAATACAATTTTTATTTTTTGTTTTTATACATTCTAATAAGATGCTCAACGGAAGGAGGAAAGGCTTGGATCCAAGGTCAAATGTGGTATTTAAAGTTGAACCAAGATTCATGGTATTACACTTGCAAGATTTTTTTTTTTTTTTTTTCCCCCTTTTTTTCTCCCGGGGGGTGGTGGGCAACTTAGAAGAAATATTACGAAAGTTCAGGAGACAGTACCTTGAGTAAAAATTGAGACATGAAATGGTATTATGTGAGAATTTGTTTGGTCTCATGTTAGGTATATAAACATCAAAGCTATTAGATGATAAATGGAAGAGTCTAGCTGGAAAAAAAAATCTCTACGTGGTATTTATTGGTTTAGAAAAAGCATAAATAGGGCACATAAATTAATATGTGGAGCAAGCGATCCAATTAATCAATGTGATTAAGGACATGTACTATGGGCATCAACTATAGTGAAAATAATGGGAGGAGAAGCATGTGAATCTCCAGGAACAATACGCTTATATCTATGGATGCTGCTGAGTTCTTTATAATTTTTCATTATTATGGATGAACTTAGTAGGCTTAAGTAATCTCTCATGGTGTATGTTATCGACTGACAAATATTGTTTTCTTCTTTTGGGATAAATAAGAGCAACTTCATTGAGGAGTGTTAAAAATGCTGCATGACCCTGATATACATGCTGTACACAAGAGTCTCACAGTCTTACCATTAGTCAAACTTCCTTTTTGGAAGGAATATGTTTCTGCTATTGATAAAGAGTGGATAAGTAGGTTTCTTTGAGTTTTAACATAAATTGGGATGTCAATAGGCTAAAGACATTCAAATAAACAGATTGTTAAAGAAAGTATTGATTGAGTTGTCTTAATGCTATGGAACAACAAGAATCACACTTCAGTCTCACTCAAAAAATAATAATAATAAATAAATAAATAGAGATATAAAGAAATAAGGAAAAAACACACACAAGGCATATACCCTTCTTGAATTTATTTCGTATCTTGAAGTTGTAATTTGCATAATTATTAGGGCGGTTACACAACCATGGTTGGTATTGGAGCCGCTGGCAACCTCAGTATGCCACAGCTTAGATCTGAAAAGAAAGCTTATATTTTATTCTTCTAGCCTTCTGTTTAGTAGATTTAGCCTCCAATCACTGGATTTAGCATTCAAATAAGTTGAGCAGGCAAAACGTGTGATCTTTGAACACTGAGTGGAGAGAACAAAGAGTAGAAATGGGGATGAAATGAAATCTGCATTCCTTTGTCTGAGTTCTGTTTAAGGCTAATGCTTAGGTTCTCATGCTATATAGCTTTGTTGAGTAAACTATAAATTGTCTTTTATTCTATCTATTATGTCGTCAATAACTGGTTTCAAATATATTGTTTTTCCTCTGCAATTCTGAAACTTTTTGCCTTACAAGCAAGATGAACTTGTGAGGTCATCAGCATACATGTACATTTTTTACTCTTTACTCTCTATTCAATGCTGGTGCCTACATGGGCTTTGAAAGAGGAATAGCAGAAACAAACCTAATTTGATATTGTTTTGCATGAAATGGCTACTTTTTTTAATCTAAATCTCGCTTTTTTGTCCAAACTTTTACCAATGTACCAAGCAATGGTCCCTATATTCTTGGCTCTCTAGTGGCTTAAATTCTTTGGTGCTGCAGTGTGTTTTTGTAATCCTTTTTTTTTTTTTTTTGGTTTTGGTTCTCACATTTTGGTTTATATAAATCTTTGTTTTGGTTTAGGAAAGAAGTGATGAGCTTGCCTGTGCATCTGGAGAACATGTAGAGGCTGTTAGCAACCTTGGAAACAAAGCTATATTAGGATCTAAAGGGACTAATAGTACGGCACATCAATTACCTACAGCAAATAGTTCCCCTATGGTTTACGCCGATGAATTAGATTATTCTGTGACTATGTTAAACATAGTATGTTCACTTGATGCTAGGCATACTTAATTTATTAAAAAGCATTTAGGTAGTTTGTTTTATGAGTTTCTTTTTCGTTGGACTAATTTATTGATCTTTTTTCCAATTTTTTATTACACAGGCAGTTATCTGGTTCCATCTTCATGAATATTCAAAGGCATTTTCAGTTCTTGAGTCATTATATCAGAAAATTGAACCAATAGATGAGGTATGAGAAATACTAGATTTAATTATGATACGATGTTTGGGTTCCTCTGCTAAGTGTTTCTTTAACTGTTTATATGCAGGCAACGGCTCTTCATATTTGCCTTTTGTTTCTGGATGTTGCATTAGCTTCCCACAATCCGTGGAAGTTTGTTGTAAGTTTATTTTCAAGGCCTTTGACTAGTATTTCTTCATTTGAACTTTTACATGATGTCACCGTATTTTTGTATTTTGTATGGATGTCACCACATTTTTTATTTTGTATGAAAGACCGTGCTTCCTTAATAGTCTAATTGTCCAGTAGTTCGATTTAGATTTTGTAGATGTTACATGTTTCAATATAGCAATATGAGTTTTATATTTGACACTCTTACAGTATATCTTGGATGGTGAGGGAATTGAAAAGCATGCTGCTTATGTGTTTAAAGCAAGATACATGTAATGCAAGGAGTTGTTTTGGAGTGTTGGTATGGCCGGCTTGCGGAAATGTCCTCTAGGTGGTAGTATCAGAGACCTCAGATCAAATCCTGCGATCTTCGTTTCGGGTTTTTAACTGGAATTGTTGCCCTCATTGTGTTACTTCAGCGTCTAACCGAAAAAACAGAAATGAAATAGAACAAAAGATTCTTTTGGAGCACTTTTGTGATGAGACTTGCTTATCAAATTAAAGAAATGAATAAGCAGACAAGAATCATGTTCAAAAAGTAGGGATAGGTAGAATGAGGATGTCAGGAGAATGTGTGGAAAAGAATACCGGATGGATGAGTTTTTGACAAATTAGAGATATGATTGATCGATGACCAATGGGAGAAAGTTGTTGATGCTGTTCAACATTTACTGTAATGCCAAGGAGTGAGGACGCATGGAAGGACTTGTTGACCTTTAAGGCTGTAATTTAATGGAAAGTATTTTAATTTATAAAGAAAAATAATGAAAATTTTGTATAAAATACCAAATTGTTGGGTTAAAGAAAAGAGTATGTTTAACCAATTTTCTTAAGGAAGAAGTTATTGGCCCTTGGAAGGTCAATAATGCGAAGTGCTGTCCATGAATATTCATACTTCCATCTAATGGTTCAATTTTCTGATCCAATGTCCAACATTCATACATAGTAATTCATATATTTTCTTTTCTAAAGGCAGAATTTGTATTACACAGGCAGTTACTGCTTCCATCTTCATGAATATTCGAAGGCATTTACAGTTATTGACCCATGGAAGGTCAATAATGCGAAGTGCTCTCCATGTTTGTGTGTTATTCTGATGGGGTGATTAATTTATTGATCACCTATTCTTTTGCATTGTCTTGTGATTCATTCATTGTTGCAAAAGATGTTTTACTTGGCTGAGATTAGTTGCTGCCCTTCATGTCACGCATCTCTTCCTGTATGTGCTTTTTCCAGTCTTAGCAAGGGAAAAGGAGAAGTGTCATGGCAGTGCATTCCTTATATATGAGATCTGTTTCAGACAACTCTTTATATGGGTGTCTGCGTGCGTGCGTGTGTATTTATATTAAGAGCTTGGAGCAAATTTGCTCTCTCTTATACAGTTTTGGTCCTTTTGGATACCTTGTGTTCACATGGGTTTGCAATTTCCATTTTCTGAATGCATTTCTTATTATTATTAATTTGTGAAATAACTTGAAAGTCCACTGTTATGTTGGTTTGTATAATATCCATTCCATTCAGGGTAAAGTGGGAAAAACACCCCTATTGTTTACATTTTGGGCAAATAACACCCCTATCCTTTATGTTGTGTATATAAGCTTGTTAAGTTTGAAAAAATGATCAAAAAAGGGCTTATGTTGTGTACACAAGTCCGTTAAGTTTAAAAAATGAGCAAAGAAGGGCTTGAAGTCACTGTTAAGATATAAAATTCCGAAAATGCCCTTATATATAAATTACCCTTATATATATATATAATATATATATACACTAAACCGACGCTGCGCATATCAAGTTGTCGCTGCTGTTCTTATCGGCGGCAGTGATGAAGATGAAGAAACCCAAAAAAAGAAAAGAAAAGAGGGACAGTTTAGTCATTTCACATTTAATTAGTTTTTTACCTATTTTTTTAATTCAGTTGTAGAGGGACACTCTAGTCTTGTTTGCTCCAATATTGAATGTTAGGGACTTTTTAGAACGTATAGGGGGTTATACACTCTATATGCATATGCCATAGGGGTGTTTTTTGCTTGCGACCCTTCCATTTATATGAAAGCAAGTGTAATTGAGTTTCGTGTCATGATTATGGTTTATTTCTTTCAGCTTCTCCTTCCCCCCCCCCCCCCCCCCCCCCACACACACACACACACTTTTTGGTGTTAAATTTTATGGCATGTTAATGTTTATGCAGCATGTTTTAAATAATACTTTTTTTGACAGCATTTATGTGAAATGTTTTGCATTTTTTTCAATCTATATGTTTTAGTTATGTCTTTTTACTAAAATGGTCCATCGTGATTCCTTCTGTCCAGGATATAATAAACTATTTGGAGAAAGCTTTTTGGGTCAATAACTTGATTAGTCAGGGTGACAATGGAAGCTCTGCACAGCAACAATCTTTAAACCTAGTGGCAAAACCTTCTTCACTTCCAAGCAATTCAACTGCCACTGATGCTTTTAATTCTGATTCAATTTCTAATGCAAGTGCCTCAGAAAATCCTTTATCTAGAACTTTGTCAGAGGAGACTCTTGAATATGTAACCTTTTTATCAACACTGGACAACAGTGGACAGAATCGAGCAAGACCATCTGGCCTCCACTCTTCAAATGATCTTTCAAGAACCCCAGCTGATCAGTCCATCTCAGCCATTGATCTGAGGCTCAAGTTGCATCTCTACAAAGTTCGATTTCTGCTTCTTACTAAGAATCTCAAGGCAGCTAAGCGTGAAGTTAAGATGGCTATGAACATGGCACGTGGGAAAGATTCTTCCATTGCTCTCCTTTTGAAGTCCCAGCTTGAATATGCTCGTGGAAACTACCGTAAAGCCGTTAAGGTTTTGATGGCATCAAGTAATCGGACTGAAGTGGGGATTTCAAGCATTTACAACAACAATCTTGGGTGCATCTTTTATCGACTTGGGAAATTTCACACGTCGGCTGTGTTCTTTTCCAAAGCTCTTAGTAATAGTTCATCTCTACGGAAGGAAAAGCCTTTAAAGCTCTCAAATTTCTCACAGGATAAATCTCTCCACATAATATATAACTGTGGCGTGCAGTACTTGGCTTGTGGGAAACCAATATTTGCTGCTCGTTGTTTCCACAAGGCTAGTGTAATTTTCTACAATAGACCTCTCTTGTGGCTTCGAATTGCTGAATGCTGTCTAATGGCCCTAGAGAAGGGACTTCTGAAATCCAGTGTGGCGCAATCCGATCGATCAGAAGTTAAAGTTCATGTTATTGGAAAAGGAAAATGGAGACATCTTGTAACGGAAAATGGGATTTCTAGAAATGGGCAGGTGGATTTTGTTGGAAGGGATAATTTGCTTTTGTGTGATGATAGACAGCCTAATCTCTCGGTGTCCCTTGCGCATCAATGTCTTTTTAATGCCTTGCACTTGTTGAACTGTTCTGAATCAAATTATCAAGAGTCGGATACGTCTTCTAGTCCCGCCCTAGAAGAAAATGAATCAAGAGAAGCAGCGTCATCCAAGATTTCTAACTACATAAGTGTATCTGGTGAGTCCAAGGCAATTAATTTAACTGTTCAGGTTAGTGCAAATGGGGATGTGAAAGAACAAAAGGGTGGCATTTGTCTAAATGCTACCTTAAAGAACTCTATCTTGGATTATGAAAATAGTTGTAGAAGAGATAACCAGATGATCAAACAAGCTCTTCTTGCTGACTTGGCATATGTTGAGTTGGAATTGGGAAATCCTCTGAAGGCCCTATCAACTGCAAGCTCTCTCTTGAAACTTCAAGAATGTTCCAGAATATATGTGTTTCTTGGCCATGTTTATGCAGCTGAGTCTCTCTGCCTGCTAAACCGGCCAAAAGAAGCTGCCGAGCACTTGTTGATCTATTTATCTGGTGGGGACAACATTGAACTTCCCTACAGCGAAGACGACTCCAAACAAGTGCTTCTTGAGAAAGCTTTGGATTGTGAGGAGTTGAATGTTGGGGCAATGACGGCCAAGAACTCTTCTCTTGATGAATCACAAGGTGTTGCACTTCTCAAACCTGAAGAGGCACGAGGAATTCTTTATGCAAACCTAGCCACCATGTTTGCCATCCAGGGAGATCTTGAGCAGGCTCAGCGGTTTGTAATGCAAGCTCTATCCATAATCCCCAACAGTCCCGAAGCCATTCTTACTGCAATTTACGTGGATCTCATGCTTGGGAAGACAAAAGAAGCTCTTGAAAAGTTCAGACAGTGTAGTCATATTAGGTTCCTCCCTGCCAGCTCAAAATTAAGTAGCTCTTGTTGATGGTCATATTGGTGCCTTTTAATTGGTCGTGTCCGTCACACCCCACCGTGAGTTAGCTGGGAGATCGAGATCGACAATCCTTTTGAAGAGGATTTGTAACATATATATAGTTCAGTCCAGTGAATAATTTTTATTTTATTTTATTTTTCTCTTTTTATAATCTTTTCATTTGTAGGGTTCGGTGAGTGGGTGGTGTGGCTGAGATTGTTTTTGTTGTCGCAAATGGCCCAACTGTAAGATTTGAGATGTAGTTCTGATTCAGAATATTTTGTTTAGTGGCTAATTCAGCTTTTATTCAAGAATAGTGAGAGATCATGTAGTGTTGTTGAGGATGAATTTGTAAGATTTTGATCCAATGTAGGAGTGAAATGCGTGGGTGGGTTAATTTGTTACAGCATGCCGACTGAACTTTGTAATGTGGCCTGCGGACCGGGCAAACTTTGGCCCAGGCTTAATGGCCGAGGATGTTAGGAGAGCCTGTTTCCTGTGCTCAGTAATCGATTGTATAGGCCATAAAATGCAAGGAATATAATGTGTTAAATATATTTGTATGTATTATATACACTTGTGTAACTATATGCATGAGGTCTACATTCCTACTTTAAAGGAACTCTATAGTGATAACGGGTCAATCGTGAAAAGAAAAAAGAAAAAAGAAAAAAGAAAAAAAAAATAGTTCAAAACAAAAAAGAAAAAAAAAATTAATAGTGGAAAAAAAAAAAAGATATGAAAGGGGTCAATCCGTTTCATTTTCCTTATTTATTGTTTTTTTAATTTTATATTTGTGTATTTGTAATTGCACTGCATCACAAATTTGAAACTGGAATTTAGCATCAAATTAGAAAAATCAATAGCAGCACGGCAGTTGGCGAGTGAAATCAACTTATAAAATTCAGTAAAATTTGTAAAAATTTATGAATGTGTTTAAATAGTAAAATTATTTGCTCCTAATTTAATTTTTTAATTCATTGTTGGTATGGTCAGGAGGAAAATACAAAGTAAGTAACACTTCAAAATTATCTAAAAAATTTCGGGAATTCAAAATTATTTAACGAAACACATTTGTCTGCATTGAACTTCAAAATTATCCTTAAAAAATAATAATAATAAACCGCCGTCCCATCTAAGCCGGCCGTTCCGGTTCATAGTTAGGTAGCAATGGGCCCACAGCTAAATGAAAATTTTTACGAAACCAGAGATTATTCCACGTGTCATGTCCTTGGACCACAAAAATGATCGTCCCAAGTATTTCCCGCTAATTAGGAACGTTGTCGTATTGTCTGATCTCCACATTCCGTCTCTCCATAAATACTCTTCATCTACTTGTTTCAGACCCGAAACTTCGCCAAAAATAGCTGACTTTCCTCCAAAAGTAGTGCTGAAACCCTAAATTATCGTTGGCAGCCAAACAATGAATCTCGCAGCTATTTCACAGATCAGATTATTTAGTGCTTCTTTTGTGAAAAAATTAGCTGTTATTTGATCATGTACTGAGCTAGAGAGACAGAAAAACATATATAATATATATATATATATATATATATATATATATATATAATATAGAGAGAAAAGAAGGAATGACGATCTTGTATTCGCTGGTGGCAAGAGGATCGGTGGTGCTGGCGGAGTTCACCACCGCGACAACGAATGCGAACGCCACGGCTCGCCAGATACTGGAGAAGATACCACAAGGGAACAATGACAGCAATGTGTCGTACTCTCAAGATCGCTATATTTTTCATGTGAAGAAGACCGATGGCCTCACCGCTCTTTGTATGGCCGATGACACGGCCGGAAGTAAGAATTTCAATTCTCATTTTTGTTATTGTTGTATCCTTAATTTGATTGTGGTGAATCATTCCTGTGATTCATGAGTTATGAAAACCCTAGTTTTGATTACAAGTACAAGCGATTATGATTTTATATGACCGATGAAATTGTATTTGTAATTTGTGCAATACAGTCAGTGATGATTTTCGTTGAAAATTTGTGTCTGACTAATTGTTTGAAGTCTGCACTTGTCAATTTCTGTTCAATGTTTTTTTATTATTTCACAAAATTTGAGAATGATTGTATTTCAAGAAAAAGTATCTGTTTTTGGCTGATGCCTTGCAGCTGGGATTTAGAGTTTGTTGAGGGGGATTGACTTTGTACTCTAGTGAAACCATGGAGGATTCGCACTTTGGTGGACATTTATTATTGTCTCTACTCTTCGTCACCAGCACTGCAACTTTCACTATCACGTAGCAATGCAAGTGTAGCTATAGAAAAATTATGGATAAATAAATAAATCCATTCCATAAATCCGTTAAATATTAATCGATAAACAAATAAGTCCATTATATTATCTATTTACAAGCTAAACTCCCAGATTCCCAGTAAACAGTTATGACAATCAAAATTACAGATTCCCGGTTATGACAATCAAAATAAAATATATTCTAGCGGTTGTATAAATGGACACATTATTTTGGCAAGTACCCGATTGAAGTGGTTTTCAAATTTTTTGGATAGAAATACAGTTTTTCTATTCGCCTCACAAGGGTGAACTACACATAGGATATATGCTTCTAACTAGTGCATAAGCTCTGCCATGTTCTTGACATTTAGTTAAAGACTGTTTCATTACTGTCTGCTTGCGTTTGTAATTTTTTTTGTCTCGTCTCTCTGTTTGATTAAATTTTGTTATTGTTGTATCCTTAATTTCATTGTGGTGAATTATTTTTGTGATCCATGAGTTATGAAAACCCTAATTTTGATTACAAGTACAAGCAATTATGATTCAATTGAATTCTCAATAGTTTAAGAGCTTTATATGAGTGATGAAATTGTGTTTTGTAATTTGAGCATTGCCTCTGTGTTTTGGAATGGGATTATGGTCAGTGATGCATTTTTGTTGAAAGATTGTATCTGATTAATTGGTTGAAGCTTTCATTTTGAGATTCTGTTGGACATTCTTGATTAATTTCAGAAATTTGTAGAATGATTGTATTTGCAAGTGAAGTATCTGTTTTCAGCTGATGCCATGCAGCTGGGATTAAAAGTTTGTTGAGGTGAGTTGACCATGTACTTGAGTGAAACCATGGGAGATTCAAACTTGGGTGGACATTGATTAATGTCCCACTCTCTGCAGCCACCACTGCAACTTTCACTGTCACGTAGCAATGCAAATGTAGCTATAGAAAAATTATCGACAAACAAATAAATCCATTATAGAACCTATTTACAAGCGTCGTTAGACCTTGTTATAGAATTTTTTTGAATGTAATGGAGAATGCAAATGTAGCTTATAAATCCCCAAGAAAATTTAAAACTATAAAATAGCAACAAACCCCTAGTAAACGATTTTGACAATCAAAATAAAAAATCTTCTAGCGGCTGTGTAAATGGACCCATTAAGCACCCTATTGAGGAGGTTTTCAGTTTTTGGGGGTGGAAATACGGTTTTCCCATTCGTCTCAGAAGGGTGAACTATACATGGATATATGCTTCTAACTTGTGCAGAAGCTCTGCCATGTTCTTATCATTACGACTGGAAGCATGTTGTCACTTTCCTTTTTCCCTATATAGTTACTGTTTCATTACTGTCCGCTGGCGTTAGAATTTTTTTATATTATTTATTTACTTATTATTATTATTATTATTTGATGAGTGGCGTTGGTAGTTTTTTTCTTTGTTGACTTTGTAAGATTATTCATGTTGTCAGTGCCTCTTAGAGGATGACATGCAATGCATTGAAAATTTGTGCAGGGAGAATCCCTTTTGCATTTCTTGAAGATGTACATCAAAGATTTGTAAGGACATATGGTCGGGCTATTCATTCAGCTGCTGCCTATGCAATGAACGAAGAATTTTCAAGAGTCTTGAGCCAACAGATGGACCATTACACAAATGACCCAAATGCAGATAGGATAAACCGGTTGAAAGGTGAAATGAGTCAGGTTAGATATGGATATATATGCTGGCTCATTACTTTATGATCTACAGTTCGTTTATTTTTTGTTCATTCAAGTGGTCTTTAAGTTTTTTGATTCCTCTTTATTTTCAGTGTTTGATTGACTGGTTTATTTTTTCAGTCCACGCTGGCTTATTTGGAATGCTCATGTTGCGTAGTTTACTATGGATGACAGTCAGCTGGATAAACCTTATTAATACTGAATGAACTTTATTATGCTCAAACTAGATAATCTTTTGATAAGCAACCATGCTACTTTCAACATAATGTCAAAGCTCAATTTGTCTGTAAATTTATTTAGAGCAGAATGCTACAATGATTCCTATCTTTCTCTAATTTTTCCATCTGATGACTAACTTTTCATTATGTGCTGCGGTGATGATAGGTGCGGAATGTCATGATAGAGAATATTGATAAAGTTCTAGACAGGGGTGACCGCTTGGAGATACTAGTTGATAAAACTTCCGGATTTCAAGGAAATGCATTTCACTTCAAAAAGCAATCTCGTCGTTTCAGAAGCACAATGTGGTGGAGAAATGTCAAGCTCACGTACGTAAGCGAACATAAACTGCTTATGCATATCATGGGCATGCTTAAAAAATATTGCATGGCCAGAGACCTAGACTAGGTTGATTACATATTGGGTTTCATTTGATCTTTGGATCCCTTGGATTTCTTGTTCTTTTGAACCATATTTACTCCTGCAGAAGTAACTTGCACTAAAGCTGCAGAGGAGGGCTTCCTCCCGTCCGCTGGATACAACTGATAAACTTCCTATTTAAGAAGTTGCATGTGAACCTTCTGAATTTACTTTTTCAATCCTCCTTTTTACTTGGAAAACAAAATGGATGATGATATTAACAAAGAAGATAAATTTACTAACAGAAATTATTAATGCTGCCCCATTCTGAATTTCCATCATATAATTGGAAGTCTTGTAATACATATACTCTTATCCCCATAAATTTCAATTTCTCAATCCTGATACTCAATTATTTTCTAAGAAAATTCTTTACATATTTTAACATGCGTGTAAAGATACACTGGCTGTTCCCTTTCCAGCTCTTGATGAGAAGCCATTACCAACTAAAGGTGATCTCTGGATGGATGAAATTTAGTTGATTACTTTCTTCCATTCTTTTATGATCCTCCTAAATTGCCATTCCACGCACCATGTTTAAAATATTTTCAACTTGACTTATCTGGAATGCCCACTTTTGCCTTTCTGTATTGTGTATAGAGATGAGAATGCTATCCTGTCATGAATTCTCTTTTATTCTCCTCGTATTTTTTTATGCCAAAATCGGAACAATAGAACATGAGCTCAACTTAATAAAGTTAGTTTCTCTTATTATAGTATTTAAAAGAACACTAGATTTATCTTGAGTTTCGGTCTTGCAGGGTCATATTGGTTATCCTTCTCTTGATTATCACCTACGTTGTACTCGCATTTGTTTGCCATGGCCCCTTGCTGCCATCCTGCCTGAAGTAAACACAGCATTTGTTGTTAATTGGTGTTACATCTCTTGTTGGCGGATTATAGTTTGAAGTTCCCAAGTAACTTTTTGTGTCAAGATCTCAGTGATATTTTCAAGGGTTCTTAAATTATTGTCTATGCGTCAGCTGATTCTGTATTTTTTCAGAAATACAACATTTAATTGTTATGCAATGGTTGGTGGAGAAAAAAAGAAGAAAAATAAAAAAGAATATATGTTGTATAAGGTGAACTGAACTTTACTACTTGAGATTTGAGTGTTATAACAGAATATGTGGTGGTATGCATTTATTGCATGAATGAAGTTATGCCATATGAACACAATTCCATTGAAAAGAGAATACAGCTGCTTGTGCTAGCCCTGTAAGCAAAATTCTCAGATTTCTCATCTTTTTCTCCAATTCTCAATCTAATGGCTAGTTGCCTTTTCATTTTGTGATTAATGTACCCTCTGTTTTCAGCAAGGTTTTGTCGAAACCTTTTGGTAATATATAATCCCTAAAGTCGTGATTTCTGTCGTTCATTGGGTATCTAATCGTCACAAATATAAATCACAATGAACATTGCATTCATATGGTATGCGCTCTCAAACTACACAAGTGAGGTTTAGTATTGATAGCATGATAGCATTACTTGCCATGAGAGAGCTCTTGCGATGTACTGTAAAATGAGTCAAAATAGGTTTTCAAACACTGGATACACAATTTCCATCGGAATAAATGCAATGGTTTCTTAGAATGCTGGAAAATTGAATTAAATGTAAATAAATAAATTTCAGGTTCCAGAATACAAATGCAAAGTAGAGTGACTACCACTAACACAGAGAGTAAAAATGTGAACTTCAAACTTTGATTTTCTAAACAAAGTTTGAAATTATATGAAACAATGAACTAAAACAGAACCAGAGACCAAATCCATACAATGACAATAGGAGATTTTATACTGGGAACTTGTCTCGATTGAGTATTTCAAACGCTTATTTTCAAACGTTGGAATAAGAAAACCAAACCACATAAGTGGAAGGTAAAAAAGAGGGTGGGGGGGTCGGGGAATAAAACAAGTAGAACCTTTACATAAATTAGGCATTTCAAACAGCTGCCTAACCCCTAAAAATCGACGTCATCAACAGTAAGCCAGTCATTTGACTCCTCACCTTCCGAATCTTTTGCTTGGGAAGTTGATTGACCAGACTTCTGCCGGTCACCCCGAGTTTCAGAATTTTTATCGAGTTGAATCCATTCATTGGATCCACTAGGTGAAGACGGCTGATTAGTCCGTGCTGGCCTAAACCCGGATGGTCTACCCGAGAGATCATTGTCATCATCCTCCAGATCACTGAATGAGACATCATCCTCAGTATCAGGCTGTTTTTGGGCATGTACAGAAGAAGTGCATGTGTTAACATCTTGCTCGTTTAACCATTGTTCCAGATTCTCATGATCATCACTTTTGGTATTCTTTTGATTGTCCTTTTCCATCCCCTGTGGTGTATTTACAGCTCCAGACGAAACCTCCTTTCCCTGTACCGGGCTCTTACCACCCTGTTGAGATGATACAACAGTCTCAAGGTCCTCAGAAGTCTCCACTGATGCATTCTTCTTGTTTTGCAGCTTCTGCAGAAGTATCTCCCTTGCATAAGTAATCTGCAAAGAAGTGAGATTTTCCTAAATAAGATGCATTAATTTACAATAAATTAAATGATAAAATTAAAAAAAAAAAAAAATCAACTATTTGAGAAAAAAAAGGATCTTGTATAAAATAAAAAAAATGGAAATAAATTTTATTACAACTTTTTTTTTTTTTTTTCCTAGTTAAATTTGATTACAACTTCTTTAACTTTCATATATAAATTTTGTTTTGTAATATCATTAGTTTGATCACTGCCTAGAAAGATGCAATAAGAGAGAATATAACCAAGAAGATATTTAATAGTGTCATTGAAACATTAGATTAATATATATCATTCATACCATAAAACAAATCCATTCACTTGACTGAAACAACATTAAACTACCCTTTTCGCTAATAAGCCTGAGAGAAATTTAATTCCAATTTAAGAAACAGCGTATTTTGGCTTAAATTGAGTTTCCACTCCTAAGAGTCAGACAAAAAGTCTACAACATCTAATACCCACTCTTATTTTTGGCACATGCGCCACTGTATTGTAAAAATGCAGTTACAAATAATCCAGCCTATAGTACATTAGTAAGGGACTGAATTAGTTACGAAAGCCTAACAGATTCGGGAAACCCGACCGGGAAGACCGTACCATGAACATAAAGTAATGTCTTGTACCTGCAGCAAGTTGAGCTTCTCCATAATCCAATGATCAGCGTAGCAAAGGTTCTCACTGATAACGTTGCTAACTATTTTATTCAACAATAAGACAGATCAGGCTTCCGGGTTTCACAATGTCAGAATAATATTCACCAACTTCAGAAGTCTCATGGTTACAACTTACATTGACTACTAAGCAATGCAGATTTTCACTCAGCTATTTACACAGAAGATTAGCCATGATAGTGATGGGAAGAGACTACTTCCAACCAACAACCCACACCCCCCAAACCACCAACCACCCACACCAAACACCAAAAAAAGAAGCCCCAAAGGTGGGGAAAAGGGCAACTTTAGCGGGGTGATGCACATCATGAAGCCCATTTTTTTGGGCTCTCACATTCATTATAGGCTACAAGGTAGATGTCGTAGGAACTTCAAAATGATGGTTCAACCAAGTAGACAAATGCATAAATACAATCAAAACCTAAACTCCTTTATAAATGCACAGAACAACAATTTTTACAATATATATGATTTAGTACTCAAGCGAACAGACAGCCGTATCTTGTATTCCCTAATATATTGGCTTTAATTCACTAAAACAACTGATGCTTTTTACACAATCTGATTACTTGGTCCGAGGGTTATGAGGTTTACTTGAAAGGTGTCACACTGAAGCATTTTGCAGATTATGCATATAAAGAACAAGAAGAAATAGTAATAATAATAAAGACAACGACAATAATAATAATTCTGACCATACAGCATTGAGGATTCGAATTTATCAGTTACACTATAGCCACAAAGAGTATATTTTCTCAGATAAATATAAAGTCAGATAATTCTGTAACAAACAGAGAACAAAATTTCAAAGCAAGGTAAAGTAAGACATAATATGACACTGAATTATCAGGTAATGGCCATTATTTCAAACAGAACTAAAAATGTATAAAGTTATAAGCAAGTAACTCTTATCCATCTTTGTCTTTCAGAATTTTTCCAAGCAAAGAAGTGGTTGGCAAATTAAGAGTTCAATTTTGAACTCGATATCAGATTATGGACTGCAATGCTGAATAACATAGCACTCATAAAGTTTATTCAACATTTAATAATAACATCGACACCTAACGCTATTTGAAACTATTGTCTCCCTTGAGCTCCTTGTGTTTTTCATTGGATGTCATTTTGAAGCTCAAGGTTTCAATTAGTTATGTTCTTAGTTCCTCAAGCTGATTTTGGGTTCACAAAAGTTTTAAATTGATCACCAACCCAGTCAAACAAGATGATTTTTGGTCTATTTGATGGAAGCTAAAACTCAATTCAACAATTTTTCTTATTCTTTTAATTATCTCCGTTTTTATTATTTACTTTTTATTTTGTTTTAATCAGGTGGAAATGGCACTTACTACGCATTTAGAAAATTATGAGTTAGTCTATACTTTTTACTTTTTAAAGCCACTGCAATATCATTTCTATAGCGTGACAGTTCAAACTGTAAATGGAAGACCAGTCGAGCAAGGGTTATTACATGAGAGGGAGGAAAAGAAAAAACTAACAAAAACTTTTAAGAAATATGAAGACAATCTTGCCTCAGGAGTTGATAGAAGCTTGAAATCATGCTCGCTCAATCTTGGAAGCAGCAAAATAAAATATATCATCCAGAACTGTTCATCGCTCAAGTTACTGAGAACTTTTTGCCTCGAAGCCGCTAGACTTGGGACCAAATGTTCAACAATTGAAGCATGTTCTCTCTGCATATCAGACATAACAAAATCTGCAATAAAAAATGCAGAGGTTCATAACCCAGCTGTTGTAACTTTATAATTCATATATATTTATTCATTCTAATGCCCAAAAAACAGAAGAAAAAGAAGACGACGACGACGACCAGCAAAAGACGTGAACCAATTATCAAAAGAGATCATATAGATGAGGTAAACAAATTCCATCTATCACCTATGTTGTGGAAAATGGTATTTTAAATACAAATAAAGGAAGCCACTTTCTTGAAGTACCATTCTTCCATGAACACAACACCTATGGTAGCATTCAAATACTAATAACGAAAATAAACACCCCTCTCCAATTAAAATAGTGTATATTCTGTACTAATTTTCATATGTATCCGTATTTTGAAAACAAGTTCGTTATTGTGAACACATATCCGAATTCTCATATAATCCTGGACACCGGACTCCTGGACACATGTTAATTCATCTTGAACTCTAAAAATACGACATATCTAATATAATTTCATAATTTAATTGTTAGGAGAAATGTAACTGGAGAAGTTGTCAGAATAGCGGGATGCTCGCCCTTGTGTATTATCCATATTTTGAAATTAAGTTTGTTATTGTGAACACATCTGAATTCTCATACACTCCTAGTCACATGTTTAATCATAGTTGTTAAAGCCTCAAGGCGCACTAAGGCGCCAAAGGCCTACTGAAGCCTAAGCGCAAGGCGCAGTATAAGGCGCGAGCCTGATTGAAACAAGGCGCGTGTATATAATATTGCATATTTAAACATATATTATTATTATATATTCATAATCAAGCAGTAATTGCAATTAATGTAAGTAATAAACTATAAATTTATGAATTTTGTCAAATATTTCATAAGATTAAAAAATACGACATATGATGTAGGATTTTTTAATTTAGTAGTCATCAAGTAAAAAATAAAATGATATGGATAAATGATTAAAAAATACAAGTCACGCCTTTTTTGAGCCTGGAGCCAACTAAAAAGCGTGAGCCCGTGGGCTTTATGTGAGCCTGATTGAAGGGGCCTGGCTTGTAGTAGGTTGAGGCGATCTAGCTGAGCCTTGATGAGCCTGGGGCTTTTTTGGAGCCTAGACGCGCCTTTAACAACTATGTGTTTAATTCATCCTGAACTCTAAAATAGCAAGGGGAAAAGCTTCTACGACAGCTTCCCCCTCATGTAGTCGTCAGCCTTCCCCAGCCAGCCAGCCCCAACGACCCTTCGTCGCTTCTGGCTAAGCATCTTTCCTAGACACATGTTTAATTCATCTTGAACTCTAAAATACAACATGACATATCTAGTATAACTTCATAATATAATTATTAGAAGAAGTGTAGCTGGAGAAGTTGTCGGTATAGTGGGCTCCCCGCCCTAGTGTAGTTCTTTGGGATGCACTCCCCTTTTGAGGGCCTTTTATAAAATCATTACCTATCAAAAAAAAAATGTAGCTGGACAGCCTTGAGTGTAGGTAAGACCTCAAGGATGAAAATGTTTCAGCTCCTTATGCTTCCAAATACCATATTGTGCAGGCAGGCAGTCAGATTAAAGAACCCCATAATCTCTTCCAGAAGTAAACAGAATTGCCCCAGCTAATAAATACTTATACCAACAATCATAAAGCCAATTACCATAATTCAGACTCTTATTAATATTAAATTACAGAAATGATAACAATAAAAGCATTCTATATTTCAATCTGAAGAGCATAAAAAGACAGTATAGTATGTATAGTTTCTAATGAACATTACTCAAACAAACAAATTGCACAACCCTATCATCAAAAGTATAAAAAGCTAACAATAATTGCAATCAATTGATAAAAACAACAACATTATAAAATGATCACAGAAACACACACACAAGCAAATTAAAATTACCATTGTCTAGTGAGGATGGAAAATCAGTCCATAGCTCCGGCCGCAACGAAATTTCCTGAACGAAGTCCAGAACTTCCTCCGTAACACCGGCCACTCCGGAATCTTCATCGTCCTCATCTTCTTCAACCTCATCGCCTTGATTTTGGAACTGTAACAAATTGGAAGCAAACCTAGAAATCCCACTCACCGCGTTGTTCGGAGACAGAATCGACAGACCAGACTTGAAGCTCCCGCCGATCTCGACAAGATCGTTCTTTATACCAACAAACGCTTGCGAAGATGAGTCTTCTTCCTCGGCTGCGGCGGAATGCGATGGCGGCGGCTGCGTAGTAGGAGACGTCGGAGGAGGGGCAAGGAAAGCGGCGACGCCAAGGAGTTGGCGACCGATGGTTTGGCCGAGCACTGATAGGTCTTCCTTGACGCCGCCGCCGGAGGGGCAGTGATCGCCGTCGTCGTCGTCGTTGTTGGAGGGTTTGGTGGTGGTTTGTGGTGGAGGTGAGGAGGATTGTGATTCGTCTGATTTGAAGGGGTTGGGTAGAGAGAGTGAGAGCCAAGAAGACATTGTTGAGTTTTGGCTTCGTTTAGTTTAGGGGAGAGAGAGCATTGGGATGAATACTTTGGTTGCACTTCTTCTCACCTACGGTTCGAGGTTTCTTTACTTTTTAGTTTTGGATTTTCTATCATAGCTCAAACTCCTCTCTTGTGATTTATATATATACGCGTCTAATATATGTATATTATATATATGGATTGGTTATATAGATGATGGTGAAATTTCAGTGTTGTCGTTGCTGGTTAAATTAGTAGTCTAGGACCCTTCTAATAAACTTTGATCTGGCACAAATGAATCATGTCCCTCATTTATCGAATCAGTTATTTTATTTTATTTATTACTTTGAACTTTACCAATTCACATTTTTAATGGTAAAATTTTAAAGGAAATATAGTTTAATTGAATAATGAAATACAGTCAAAAATAAAGTAGATGATAACATTAGTTAAAAGAAAAAAGAAATAAAATGAAATAAGAAAAAAAATGTTAATTGATTAAGGGTAAAGTACATTAACACCCCCTGAGGTTTGATAAAAGGACACTCAGATGAAAATTAGGCTATTTTGGGACAAAGACACCCCCTTATCAAATTTACAATCCAAACAGAGCTTAAAATTCCGTGAAAAGTCAATTTTACCCTTCACTATTTAATTAATTATAATTATAAATTATCAAAATAATTAAATGACTAAATTACCCTTGCCCCCTCTCTCTAAAATACAGCGTTTCTCTCTCTCTAAAATACATTGTCTTTCTCTCTCTATACACAGCCACAAAGAATAGGCACACTCTCTCTCTATACACAGTCGCAAAGAAAAAAATAGACCAAGAAAGAACAACACAACAAATTTCTTCAGTGTATATATATGAAACGAGTGGTATATATATATATAAACACAGAAAAAGAAAATTGGGTATGGCTTTTGGGTGTTAATTTTCAGGTGGGATGGTGTTGAAACGAGTGGTGGTCGGTGGTGGTGGCCCGGTGATGATGCTGGTATATAGGGGTGTGGGAGCGAAGCCAATTGTGTGGCGGTAGTGGTGGTGGTGGGTGTTGTGGCGGCGGCGGCTGCAGTGGGTATTGAAGGAAGAAGAGGATTGTAAGCGCGTGAAGTCCACGCGATTTGCAGATCTGAAAACCACCGTCAGCGCCTTTGTTGCAACCACCGTCGCCGCCTCTGTTACAACCACCGTCGCCGCCTCTGTTACAACCACCGTCGACACCTCTGCCACCGACGACATCATCATCATCTAATTCACCAGTGTTATTCTCCTTGACGACAGCTCGTTGCCGCCCGTCGCCGCCCGTCGCCGCCTTGTATGTGTGGATATATATATGTTTGTATCTGTATACACACACACACATATATGTGTGTGGATATATATGTGTATATGTGTGGATATATATATGTGTGTATGTGTCTATATGTGTGTCTATATATATGTGTGTGTGTGTCTATATGTGTGTATATATATGTGTGTGTGTGTCTATATGTGTGTTGGTGTTGCAGGAGGAGAGAACCGAGAGAGAAGAGAAAAGGAAAGAAATAGATTAGTAAGGTTAGAAAGGTCATTTTAACATTTAAATTAGTCAATTTAAAAGTTAAAGGGCAAAAATGTCAATTCATTACCATTGGGGGGTGTCTTTGGTAAGTGAATCAAACTTGAGGGGGTATCTTTGTCCCAAAATAGGCTAAGTTTCATTTGTCTGTCCTTTTAGCAAACCTCAAGGGGGTGTTAATGTACTTTACCCATTGATTAATAAATGAAATGATATTAATTATATTTGAGGAAAGAAATAAAAGATAATTATTATAATGAATTTACAATTATATTCTCTTTCATAAGGTCTTTCGTTTATAAAAATAAGTGCAAATTTAATAATAACAAAATTTTATTAAAAATATTAGCATTTCATTTCCTTTCCTTTCAATTCTTTCATTTTTTAAAGATAACAAAATGTACTATTCATGTTTTTATTCTATCCCTTCCAATCCTTCATTTTCCCTTTATTTCCATCCAAAATATCTTACCAAACACATTTTTTTTTTTTTTTTTCCCTTCCATTTCCATTATTTTCTTTTCCCTTCATTTCCATTCTACCGAACTGGCCCTAGGTGCAGGGGAGAGAATTTTGATCCAAGAGTCTGATTGCATTTGGTGAAAATTGATCCAGCTCATCACATCTACAATTTTGGAATTGGATGTCAGAAATTCAAATAATACAATTTCTAACTAAATAAAAGCCAGCTCATTACTGAAAATTAAGAAAAGGGGATTTTCAAAACTTTGGCTAAAATGCCAATAATCTGAAATATTTTAGTTTTGAATTGAATATTCTTTAAATCAGTATTTGAAAAAGAAAATATATTTTCAAAGTGTAAATTTTGATTCCAAAAACTTAACCTAGCATGTAGTGTGTTTTAAATGCAATTTGCCAAGTATAAAATTTTAACCAATATGCAACACACTCATTTGTGAACTCTAGAGAGATAGTCCATTGACAATACCCTCACATCCTACATCCTACATCCTACTTTGAAAGTTGAGGGTTCTAATTTTCTTGGAGCATTTAATTTATAGTTAACTCTGCTTTGCATTTGTGGGATAAAAGATTGGATTGTCCTAGATGGCGACCATAGAATACTATAAGTGGCTTGGCACCATCATATTAATTAAATAAATATAAAAATAAGTGTTATAATTTAATGGTACCATTTTTTACTTTTTAAAATGAATTATGGGAGTTCAATTTGTTAGAAAAACAAATGAGAATAAGTAATTATTAGCATATTGAAACAAGAAATGCTTTAATAGTGAGAATATGTAGGAAGAAAATATTTTACTTCGTGTTTACACAATTTGGAGCCCTTAGGGTTCGCGGGCGTATCAGAATCCTTGTTCGCCCAAACTTGGGACGTGCTCAACATATTACACATGGAAAAACAAGAAGGAAAGAAAAAGCAAATGGGCAATGCTGTTTTACAATTTTGGGTAATGGAAGTAAAATATTTTCCTCCTCCAGATTAAGTCTTCTGATGTACTCTGAAAAATAAATTAAGACCGCCTTATATTTGATTGGTTTGTTAGCATGATCTATTTATATAGGACATATTAGGACTAACAAATGCATCTGATCATTGAAGGTTGATCTTCTACCCTCTTGGAAGCAATAGCATCCAAGGTTCACTTAAAAGGGAGGTTTGCTTTCAGGGAAATATATATAGCAAATTAGCAAGTTAGTGAAGGAAAGGACAGCATTTGTGATACAGTGTTGTTACCTATGATGTCTCAATTTTTTGGGCAGAATGGGAATTAAGGATGTGTTAAACCCTTGTGAGCTTGCTCTCTCATGGTACAAATTGAAAAGAAGACGCACCAATAAATAAATAAATAAGAGTATTGCTTACTATTATAAATTGTGTCATTATACAGTATAGCAATTTTTTTTTTTTTTTTTTCTTGGCAAAAATGTTAGTGGTTAGATGAGAGGGGACGGTACAAGGCTTGAACACTGGCTCCTGAACGTAGAGAGTAACCCAATCACTTAAGCAACACGGTTACACTGCACTTACATACAAAGAATGTTGTATTTTCAGACCACATATTACAAAGAATCACAATCAAACATTATAATCCAGAATATAAAGCTGAGAAAATAACAAATCACAAAGATTACATATTGTTCCACTGTATCTTAATTAACCAAATTAATTTGAAAAAATAATAAATAAATAAATAACAAGAAATGAGATTCCTTCCCGAGAATCTGAAACAACCAAGCCGGTTAACTAAATTGATCAACTGGTCCCAAAATCATTGTTACCAATCCAGCCTAATTATTAAACCCAAAATAAAAAATGAAAAATGAAAATCTCATCCTAGCTCCTGTATTTGCACAAAATATGGTACAATTCTGTCTACCTTTCAGATCTTGCCAATCTTGAAATCAAAAACTAAATATAACCCCATGTTTTTCCTCTTCATGTTTTCAGCAAAAGAGGTTCTCTTTGAGTGTTGTCTAAATGAGCCCTGTATTTTGATTGTGGGCTTGAACAGGCATACCTGAGCCATAGGGGTGGACATTGCCTTCACACGGATTGCCGAAAGGATTTAAAGGCTGTTGTTGTTGACCCATCATCATCATCATCTGCTGCTGATTGGCCATGGCTGCCAATCTAATAGAAGGTGGAGCAGCCACACTGGAGGCAAAGAATGGATTATGTGGTGTTTGTGCCTGTGGCATCACGACACTGGCCATCGGGACTGGCTCCCATGGGTTGTAGCTCACATTCTGGTTGCTTCTTCTGATTGCATCATCGTATAGGCTGTCTAATGTGAGTTTGTCTAGCCCTCCCGCCTTATTTTGTTTTAAACAGGTAGAAAGGCATCAGCATAAAGTATAACTAATTAATAAAATTCTCTCTTAACAAAATGATGCATGCATGAGCATGAGAGTAGTGATAAGAATACTGGAATATATACATGATACATGCACTAGTTTTTCATTATTTGGTGATGGGGAGGCGGTGGTTATTTTGGTGAGTACAATGACATCCTTAAGATCCAAGAAATTGATCATGGTAAAAAAAAAATGTAAAGACAAGAATGTACAAGGAAAAATAATGCAGACAGTATATATACCAGTTTACTAGCAACAACTGTGCTTTCATTTGAGCTGGGGGCAGTAACAAGTGCCAATTCCCAGCTTGTAGTTCCATTTGCAGGAGCGGGACAGACAGAATTTGGCTGGTCAGCTACAAGTACCATCATCATAAAAAAATAAAAAATAAAAAATGATGAACATGGTATGGTGAAATATATTATTAGATTCTTAAAGAAAACTTACCAACTGGTACTATAGCCAAAGCCAAAGCATTCTTCTCATCTAATTCTGAAGCCCCTGGGATAGGATCATTCAAACCCTGGATGGAAGAAATGGTGTTAATAAGACTCCATGGATTTTGTTAAACAAGAATTCCCAGTAAAATAATATACTTCATAAAAGAAATGAGAAAGATGGTAGTAATTACCAGAAAATCTGGTAGTTCAACAGGAGCTTCCACCTTATAAACTAGTTATGGTTCGGGTAAAGTCGGGGACGGTGGGTGTGACCTTTTATCATCATCTACCTCCTTTGTTGAAAATATAAAGGAATGAAGAAGACTCTGGTTAGATTTAAGTAGTTAACCCCAACACTAAACAAAAAGCATATATAAAAGTCCAAACAATATAAAAAAAATTATATTACATAGAAAAATTAAGGTCCCACAGTCATCACAAAGAAGTTATATCTACATAGTAAAGGTAAAATGAAAATTTTCCTCAATGAATGATTACACATACTAGAGAGAAACAATGGGAAACTTTACACATTGCAAACATTCAAACTTCTAAATTCACTTTAGTTGTCTTGCACACTGTCATCAAAATAAAATGGTCTCAACATCGGATTTGAGATACCTTTTGTGGTTGCATCCTAAGCTAAATTTGAAAAATGCTTTATGGCTTATTACAACAATCAGTGATACTGAAGTTATTTTGCTTTCCTTTTGTGATAACAAAAATAATAGCGGCACCTATAACTGTACTTACATTACATTTCCGAAAAAATAAGTTTAACACAGAGAGAGAGAGAGAGAGTCCATACTCGATCTTTGCGAACAGTTGAAGATTGTGGAATTTCTCTAACATACTCTTCCATGGCTTCAATAAATGATGCAGGGGGCTTCATTATCAATTGATATATGATTACATCAAAATATAGTCAAGAGCAAAAGGGAAAATTATAAAAATAAAAATTAATAATAAAAAATAAAAATAAAAATAAATAAACTTAAAAGAATCCTAAGAGAAAATCCAAAACCTGCTCGATTATAATGAACTTTTCTCCACGTCCAATGGGAAGGCTTTTACATATTTCATAGAAATCTGAGAGTCTCTCTGCCTGAAAATAGAGTCACAATTTTAAGACACCCATGAGATCAGAAATCCTCTTCCCCCGCACTAGACAGTCTAAATGGTTATTAGGAGAGGCATTGCCGCATTTCCACAAGCAGTTAGAGACTATTTTTATGAGAGGTATTCAAAGTAGAATATTACCTGCTGCATGGTATATATCCAAAGCTCTTGGAGCATCATGGTGTTGCATCTCAAAGAACTGTCATTATCAGGTTGTCATATGTAGATGATTTGCTAAAGAACCAAACTAATCCTTCAAAAAATCAAAATCCCAGTTTACCTTGTCAACCAAATTAACCGTTCCATCACTTATAGAATTGTAAATTTTGATGCTTTCAGAAGCAACCTGTTTAATAAAGACGATCACCTCAACAGAATGAAATCTGAAAGTTATTTCACCAAAGTTGTGGACAGAAAACATTTAGAAACTTCACATACCATCGAAAGTTCCAACTGAATCACAAAATTATCAACTGCTGCTCCTTGAGGCTGCATTAAAATTTCACAATTAGGCCCCAATTTGAATGTTAAATAATTAAGACTGCGTGGCATTATGTTTGATATAACCCAACTTGATTTGGTTGTGATCATAAAATTACCAGGCAACCAAGAACATGAAATAGAAGCTGCTGCAAAGCTAGTAACTGCTCGAGCAATTCAGGAGTTTCTAGATCTTTAGTTCTCTGCATGACAAGTACATCTAAGAATTTTCCTGATATAAATGTTTTAACAATATTGGTGAGCTAGAATTTCAATTTATACGGCAAAGGTATACAGAGAGATAAGACGATAAGAAATTAATTCCAACAGGGTACTTCATTTAAAGTAAGCAAGGTCCCAAGGCGGGGGCTGTGCTACTGCAGCCGAGACCGTGATTTAATAAAGTAAAATGTTAGAAAGTCTTGAGGATAATGTAATGTGCGGAAATTAACCTAGAACCAGCACACTAGTATCACTGACTGATATCAAGAAATATGACAACTCATTAGAAACTCCACCACCAAATAGTTCCTTAAAATTTAATCTGATACTAAATTTGACTGTTCTAGTCCATCAAAACATGTGTTCAAAGTCCAGTTTTGTATGCTGCAACAGAAACCAGAACCCTCTGAGCAAATTAAAGTTAAATGGAACTGTAAAGAAGCCATTTTTTAGTGGAATAATGAAGAGTATCAAATAATAATTGCCAAACCGAAATAAAAATAAAGTCCACAGCAAAAAGGAATTATTGGTAAAAGATCATTTTCTTACAGGATGATCTCTCTCAACATCGTAGTTCAAGACTCGAAAACATTCCAGCCTTTCCTCCAAAAATAAGGCATAAGAGCGGACCCAGGCAGAATAATCCCATGCTGAGCAGGGTCATTAACAAAGAAGTTGCCTTCCACAAATTCAAATGAAATCACAGATATTTAAAACAAAATATAGGATACCATTTGGAGTGGAATCATCTTTGAAATGAGCCAAGTTCAGCATATGGTTTCTGCTCCTATGATTTACAAACTCTTAAAATTTGAATAAATATCACTCTTAAAATTTCTTTTTGGTATATAAATTTGTCAAGTTTAAAAAAAATGATCAAACGATTTGAGTTCGATTACAAATTTAGTCATGACATTTTAAAGTATAAATTTTTTAAAATATTTCATTTTCTTTTAATAATGTCTTTATATAAGAAAAAAATAATAATAATAAAATACTTTAATTATTTCACATTTAATTATTTTTTTATTTAATTATAAAAAAACACTTTAATCTTTATAACATTAAGATATTTATTTCTTCAAAAAAATAAAGGTCAGAAAATTTTCACAGCGTCCTTTGCTTATGGAGTACTTAAATTGTTACTCGACAAATAAAACTCTGACAAGTACAAACAAAGATCTGAATCTAAGATATTTTTTCTAATTTACGCGTGAGGCTCAAATCTAAGATATTTTTAGGTTAATTTACATTTACAATGACACCTCGCAAGTTTAAATTTAGGGTTAAGCGCAGAAAACCCTCCTCTACTATTGATATAGTGCATATCAGTCCCTGTGTAGTAAAAAAAAACCCCTATACTATCAATTTGGTGCGATTGGGTCTCTAGTGGTGTAAAATGACGATAATACCCTCACTTCGGTTGAATAAATGAATGATTATAATACATGCCATGTAAAATGACCCTTTTGTCCAAATTTGTATAAAATAGGGTTTGTTTGGCAGAAGGATAATATAAACCTCAAATTGTTTTAAATATGGGATAACTTAAACCTGAATATAATTAACTCTAAAACCAAACATGTCCCAACTATATAAAACACACTTAACCATTTTCAACCCTAAGTCTGCATTGTATACGAGAGAGGCCGACTCTAAATTCCTTAGTGTTCTGAAACCCTAACCCGTTTTCATGTGTATTTGTTGTCTAAATCGATTGAATCTCTGTATTTATTTGTTGATTGGTTGAAGATAACTTGCAAGAGTTGTAAAGTCGGTGAAAGATCGATTGTGTTGTTGTGCTGTGGCGCTGTGAAGACTCCTTCGTGTCGTAAGTGTTCTTAAATCAAAATTTTGTTCTTAAATCGTGTTATTTGTTTTAGATTTGTGTAAAATTTTACATTGTGAAGAGTTGTAAACTCACTGAATGTTTTGTCTGATTATGTGGTTCAATTTTGTTTCAACATTTGTTAGGATTTTCTGATTCGTCTCGTAAATTGTTAAATGTTCTCTGATTTTGTTCTTAAATCGTGTAGTATGCATGCATGGTTGATTTTGTTTCAACATTTGTTAGGGTTTTTTGATTTTTTTTTTGTATTTCTTTCCTAACAGTTAGGGTTTTTGTAAACAATAGTGGGTTTATCATTTTTTCTTATATTCTCTTGCAATTTTGGCCTTTATATATTTTTGTGTCATGTATGTATGATTCAGTGGTGTTAAGGGTTTGTCAGTAGGTTGGTCCATTTGTACTTTTTGCTTATGGATTCAGTATATATATGTTTGTGTGACCCAATGCATGATTGTGACCCATATATGACAAATATGATGATCTGGTTTCCATTTAAATTGGGGTTTTATACTATAAAGTTTGGATTTTTATATGCACATATGTTTTGTTCAATGCAATATTGTGGGTTGATTGACTTTATTAATTTATTGTTAGGGTTTTGTAAACAATAGTGGTCGCTTGCTTTTATGCTCTGCCCAATGTATTATTGTGGGTTGATTGACCTTATTTATTGCGAGGGTTTTGTAAACTATAATGGTCCCATGTGTATAGAAAATGCTAAGCTTTATGTTGGATCCAAGTGCTACAAACAGTACCTCAGAATAATTGTGTTTTGTTTGTTTATACTTTTGATGGAATGTTTCTATATGTGATGTTGGGTCCATGTCTTTAATATTTATATTATTTATACACTAACATTATTTTTTAGTGCATGACATGCATATTGCATAACGGATCCATAGATCCCGCTCTGATATGCATGCATGCTTGTGACAAAAGCTTATATAGTTATGGCTTGTGAAGGTTTATATTTTATTATTTATACACTAATATTATTTTTTAGTGCATGACATGCATATTGCATGACGGGTCCATAGATCCCGCTCTAATATGCATGCATGCTTGTGACAAAAGCTTATATAGTTGTGGCTTGTGACGGTTTATATTTTATTATTTATACACTAACATTGTTTTTTAGTGCATGACAGATCCATAGATCCTGCTCTGATATGCATGCATGCTTGTGACAAAAGCTTATATAATTGGGGCTTGTGACGGTTTATATTTTATTATTTATACACTAACATTGTATGGTTGTTTAGTAAATGGGGAAGACATACATACTTCAGTTCCATAATTCGGGAAAGTTGAATCAATGCAACAGCTATGTTGGTGGTAGCATAGAGTTAGTTGACAATGTGGACCCTAACATGATGTCTTACTTTGAATTAGAAGACATGGTGGATATGCTGCAGTTGGGTGAGAGTAAAATGTTCTACAGAAAATCTATTGGTGGGCACTTGATGCAGATAATTAATGATGGGAGTGTTATGCAGATGTTTATGGCCTACAACAGCTCATCTTTGATTAAGATTTATGTCACTAATACTGAGAATGAGGATTATAGGTTTAGTGTACAAGTTCAGCATCGATTGCCAGAATATTTAACCCAATCAATGGATGACAGTGACCATTTGCAGCCTAGCAGTGACCATGTGTAGCCTGCAAGTGTTGAAGAGAATGTGTATAATGATGCCTCAGTTGATGAAGAGGATGAAATATATGATGGGGAAGATAGTGAAGAGTTAGATGATGTCTCAGTTTATGCACCAAGTGATGAGCTATGGAGTATCCATAGTGACTCAGATGATGAGATACATATTCCTTGCAAAAAATCAGATTTCATTGCTAGGAGAGAAATGGGAGAGAAGGAAAAAAAATTAATGGTGGGAATGGAGTTTGCTACATTTGCAGAATTCAAAGATGTGTTGAGAGACCATGCTATCAAGAACAAATATGACATCAAGTTTGTTAAAAATGATGGAAAAAGGGTTACATGTATATGTAAAAATGAGTGTGGGTGGAGGATACATGCTTCAAAGAGAAAATCAAATGGTGCTATTGTGATTAGTACATTCAATGATGAACATAACTGCTCTGAAGTTCAAACAAGCAGACTAGCAACATCTTCTTATCTTGCAAAGAAGTATGTGCATAAGTTTAGGAGGGACCCTGAGTGAAAAAAATCTGGTTTTATGGGTCAGATTATTGATGATTTGAACCTGGTAGTTAACAGGTTCAAAATTTATAGGGCAAAAAGGAAATGTCAGCTGATGATTGATGGCACACATAAAGATCAATTCTAAAAAATCAGAGAGTATTGTCAGTTGGTATTGGAGACAAATCTTGGAAGTGTTGCTAAGGTTGATGCATTCTTAGAGCCAGATGGGAAGTCTACAAGGTTTGAGAGACTGTTTTTCCCATTGAATGCAATGTGGAGAGGCTTTAAAGAGGGTTGTAGGCCATTCATTGGCTTAGATGGCTGCTTTCTAAAAACTCATTACAATCAACATTTACTAAGTGCTATTGGTAGAGATGGGGACAATAGCTTCTATCCTGTTGCAATTGGTATTGTGGAAGCAGAGACAAAGGAGACTTGGGATTGGTTTCTGGATAACCTCATGGAAAAATTATGCCCCCACAAAGAAATAACATTCATTTCAGACAGACAAAAGGTATGTTAGAAAATTCTTTTACAGACTTTCAGTTTAAAACTGCATTTACTGATAGTATAAATGCATTTATTGATACTTTAAAATACATTTTCAGATAGTTTAAAATTTCATTTACTGATATTATGATTTTATTATAAGGTTTGGTTGACACACTTGAGAAGCTTGGGGCAGATCACAGATTCTGTGTAAGGCACATGTATGACAACTTCAAAAAGAAGTTCCCAGGCTTAGAGTTGAAGCAAGAGTTATGGGATGTAGCAAATTCTTTCACAATGGTAGACTTTCAGGGACACATGCAGAGAATCAGGGAAATTAACACAAATGCATATGATTGGTTGGCCAAGATACCCCCTCACCTGTGGGCTAAGTGTAAGTACTCAGAATGGTCAAAGTGTGACCTTAACAGCAATAATATGTGTGAATCATGGAATTCACACATACTAAAGGCCAGAGATAAGCCCATCATCACCATGCTTGAAATGATCAGAAAGTCCTTGTTGAGGAGGTATCAAGAGAAAAAAGAGTACATGGAGGGGAAAATGGGGTTGTTGTGTCCAGCTCCAGCAGCTCAGCTAAAACTGAACAAGAGAAACTCAATGAGTTGTCATGCTCACCTCTCTGGAAAAGCCATTTATGAGGTTGAAGATGGAGGAGTGAATGAGACTGTTGACTTACATAAAAAAAAGCTGTACTTGTAGGGCATGGGATGTCACAGGTATCCCATACAAGCATGCATGTGCAGCTATACAAAAGAGAAGAGGGGCAGTTCTTGAAGACTTTGTTGACCCATACTTTTATAAAGAAACATTCTTGAAGTTATATGCAGGGATGGTATATCCAATGACATTGAGAAATATGAGAGAAGTAACTGAGGTGGTTCCAATTATTCTTCCTATAGATAGGAAACCCCCAGGCAGACCAAAGAAATTGAGGAAGAAAGCTTGTGATGAAGGTACATCAAGTGGAAAACGTGTGTACAAACAAAGGGCTCACCTTATTTGTGGAAAATGTCAATTAACTAGTCACAACTCAAGGACTTGCAAAAATGAACAACTGCAGAGAAGACCACCTAAAAGCAAATGAGGTAGACCCAAAAACCCTCAACTTGGAGTATTGCATGTTCAAAAGGCTATTGAAACTATTCTTAATTGTAGTGGTGGTGTTGGAAGTAACAATGCTATGGGCAGTACTTCAGTGAGAGTCAGTACTTCAGTGAGAGTGAGAGGCAGTGGTGTTGGGAGTAGGAATGGAATTGGTAGAAGTCTTGGGAGTAACAATGTGTTGAGAAGTACTTCACTGAGTGGTGGTGTTGCTACTAACAATGCTATGGGAAGTAGAGGTGCTGTGAGAGGCAGGGGTGGTAGAGGTGCTGTGAGAGGCAGGGGTGGTGGCAGTCATATGGCTGTAAATGTTGATATTGGTGCCGGCAACTTGACTGATGTCCCAGTGATGGCTAGTGGGATCAATATCAAGGTATATGCATTGATTTATATTATTATTTTTTTTATTTTTTATTTTACAAGTGTTGTCAACTCAACTTTAACTTTAACTTTAACTTTACCATCTTTATAGGTTATCAATGTTTCTCAGTCTCAGATTGTTGACATGCCACATACATTAGGGAATGGTACCCAAGAAAGCCAAGATTGATGGTTCTAGGTAAATGAATTTTTAATTTTACTTCTTTTCCGTTCAAAACACATACTTGCTTAGGGCATTTTAATTATCTTGTACCATTTATTTGTTACAGATTCCACTATCTAAAATGTTGCCTTTGTTTCATCCAAGTTTCAATTTACTTCAGTCCAAAGTGTTGCCTTTTGCTAGTGGACAATTTGCGACTTGTATGGTTCTGAAGTAATCTTTTGTGTATTTGATTCATGGATTAACAAATGGACAACTATTGTTTTTGTTTTTAACATCTGTTTGACTAGCTGCAATATTTATGTATGTATGGAGCTGCAATATGTATGTATGTATGTGCTGTGTTGTTGGGGAACTATGGAGCTGTAATATATATGTATGTTTTTAATATATGTATGTATGTGTCTTTACGTGGAGCAATATCTATGTATGTTGTTTGGGAACTATGGAGCAAATTATGTATGTGTAAATTATGTATGTCTATGTTGTTGGTGGTTGTGATTATTTAACTTATTGAATGTTGTCATTGAATGGGTGGTGCAGGCTATAGTTGGTCATTTATTGAATGGTTGGTCACCATTGAATGGGTGGTGCAATAGGTCTGTGTATATAAGTGTTGTTGTGTACAATGTTTATGTATGTGAGTAGTGTTGGGTACAATATGGTGCAGGTTGTAGTTGTATTTAAAAAATAAAAATCAAACAGGTTGTAGTTGCTTTCAAACAGGTTAGACTTGCATTCAAACATGTTAGGCTTGCATTCGAACATGTAACACAAGTAAAGAACCATAAAATATGTTTTTGTTTACAATGTTTCACATTAGTAACTTGAACAATACAACACAAGTAAAGAACCCCAAAAGAAAATTGAGAATGGAAAACTGAGGTAAGCATCTTCTTTTAGGTTGGGCATATCCTGTGTGCTTCATCTCTCTTAATTCTGCTATCATGTTTTCCATCTCCAAAAGCCTGTCATCATTCACATTCATGGTTCGAGCTTGACCAATTAATGGAGAATCAGCTCTTTGCAAGTCCCGCAGCTCTCGTATCTCTATCATAAGATCCCAAATCAATTTGCGGTAATAATCAGGCAATTCTTCATCCTCCCACCTCAAAAAACCACATGAACCAGTCCTGTAGTTGGCGCACCCGTAAAACCTTCTACCAGGATTTCGTTGGGTAGATGACACCTTCAAAGGACTTTTAACTCCACATTTACAATAATATTCTTTCACTAACCTCCCATATGGGTAACAATAGCTTCTTGAGCTTGAAGATGATGGCATGTTTTGGAGTAAATGAAAAAAATTTCTGAGATAATTAATAACATAAATAGTGTGCAGTTATGGATAAAGAAAAAAAATGAAGAAATAGAGAACTAAAAAAATAAACAAAGGAAACAAGAATTGAAGCAGACATGCATGGAGAGAGAGAGAGGGAAAGAGAACAGTGATCATGTAGAGAGAGAGAGAAACGAATTGGTATAAGGTGCTGGGGGCCTTTTATGCACAAATGCTGAGGGGCTTTTTTGCACAAATTGTGAGGGGCAAAATGGGAAAGAAAAGGGTAAAATGGGGTTTTAAGTTTTACTTTTCGTAAAAAGTTGTCAGAAGGACCTATTATGCACCTTTTTTGAATTTTTAGACTTGCATGCACTTTTTCAAAAAGTAGGGACTTGTTCTGCACAAAGTCTATATATCAGGGGGGTTTTCTGCACTTAACCCTTAAATTTATTACATATAGTTACAACTTAATCTCCATGTTTTTAGATCTTAGCATAAATTAGTAGGGGTGAGTAAATAATCCGTCAATTCGGTCCAAATCAATTCAATCTGTGTGCTTCAGTTCAGTTTTCAGATCTCATGGTTTAGTGATGGTTTAAAAAATCTGCAATTCGGTATTCGCAATTCGGGTAATGGATTGGACCCTAAAAAATCCAATCCAAACCGTTAAACGATTTGAACCAAACTGTTGCTAATCCAAACCGAACTCAACCGTTACTGAATAATATATTAATATATTATATATATATACACAATATACCGTATTTCTTTTTTTCTTTTTTTTTTTTCTTTTTTCTTTATTCTTTTAATGTTAATCTAACCCTAACTCAGCCTCGCTTCTTCATTACTCACTTTACTCCAATCTCATTTTAGCCGCGCCTCCCTCACTACGACACTAACTCAGCCTCTTCTCTTCACCCACTTTGGTCTTCTCCTCTCCCCGCTGTCTTCCTCTCGCCTCCCAATCTCTTGTCTCTCAATCCAACACCTCTCAACCATCGTTCACCAGATTCGAAGCAACGGCGACCTCTGTGTATCGAAGCAACGGCGACTTCTTCGACTGGATCTACTTCTTTTCCGGTGAGTTCACAAGATTTTTGCTTGGATCTTCTTATTCTCCTCTTCTCTGAACATGTTTTGCATGGATCTTCTTATTATACTCTTCTCTGAACATTTTTTGCATGGATCTTATTCTCCTCTTCTCTGAACCAAATTTTTTGTATAGTTTTATATATTTATATATATATATTAACTTAGTTTTCTCCAATTGTTGACTTTTCCGTTGAACTCCTTACCGGGGTTAATATTTTCAGTAAAATTGTCAAAAATATCATATCACAAGGTAGATCTAAATGGGGTTTGGTTCGAATTGAATGCCCCCACGGATCGGTTAAGTTTCAGTTTTAACCAATCCGTGGGGACCGGTTCGGCTTGGGATTTATCCCCTCCCCGAACCGATCCGTGATCAGGCCTATAAATTAGTGTACGAAATGTCTGATTTGGCCCCCACATACCCACCTTATCACTTTGTCAACCACATACCTACGTTATCACCTTGTTGGGTCTAGAATTCCCTAGGTGATCTCTCTGTTTCTCCTTAGCTGCAACAACCCGGTCAACCATAATACCAGCACCGCCCAACCCTTCTCTCTCTTTCCACTCACCACCACAACCTGATCCAACTCGGCTGAGGAGAGCATATCATGGATTCTTAGGGGTTCTCGAAGGGAAACGGGGGCGTTGAAGGATTGGTTCACGAAATTGGCAAACTTGAAATTGCATTTATTTATTTATTTATTTTTATGGAAATTGCAAATGAATTTGTATTGGGAAACAGACCCAACAATTTGTTGGTTTTAGTCTTTGGTCTCATTCTTTTAATTTCTGTTCAATTTGGGGGTGATGTGACTATGGTTTTGGTTTTAGTGTGATGATTTTATTTCAATTTTATATTTTGTTTTGTGTGTGTAAGAGAGGGAAGAGGCATAATTTGGGGTGGATGTGGACGGTGGTGGTGGTAAAAGGTGGAGCAATCCGAAGACGTCAGTATTTTCTGGGTGCAATCCGAAGGCGTTTTCTGGGTTTGCTTCGCGACTCGTTGGGAGCTGCACCTCGCCTGCAAACCACTTTCCACCTTTCCTGCCACCACACCGCCGAATACTTGGCCCAGAGTTCTTGTGAGAGATTGACCAGAACATCACCTCCCGCCAGGGGCGGAGCCAAGAATTTGGTTCAGGGGGGGCATGTTAACATTGACAAAATAATTTTTTTTCAAGTATGTCGAAAATATAATAGTGTAACAACAGTGCATTAAAATAAGTAAATAAAAAATGAATAAGATGATAAAAAAATAAAAAGAAGGGTTATTGCACATAAATTATGCATGAGTGTAAGAAAAAATAAAATTTTAAGAAGAAAAATGAATTTTTTAAGAAGAAAATGAAATAAAAAGAAAAAAAATATGAGAGAATTTAAAGGAAAAAATAGATTTTAATTGTAGAAAGAGAATGCAAAAGTTTTTGAAGATGACAAAAAGAAATTTGAAGAATAAGAAGGAAAAGAAATATAGAATTCAAGACGTTTTTAGAAATAGATAATTTTGTTGGGATAATTTATAAATTTTATGAGGGTATTTCATAAATATTTACAAATTATACGCATAAAATAAAATAAAATTTAGTAGATTGAGGGACAAAATGACCATTTTAAAGATTTCAGGTGGGCATTTTATTAATTTTTACAAATATATATATATATAAAATAAAAAATTAT